AAAAAAACGGCATATCTGAATCTCCATTATGGAAGCTGCCTGGGGCAAGGCTCGGGATGAGAGTAAGGCTCTTTGCCCTTTCACTGGACTCAGTACTAGAGCTATGCCAGAAGCAGGGGTATAACACCTCCTTGCAAAGTGCAGTCATCACTGCGCATCCTTCCCCCAAGCTGCTTTAATTTTCCAAGGCTCTCGACACAGAAACACAACTTTTGTTTTTCTTCACACTCTTTCATTTTAGTGTGCGAGCTAGCATTGCACTAGCAAAAAGAGCTGTGGCAGGTCAAGTATCGTATCCAGAGACATATAACAAATTTCTTTTTCTTTTCTTTTCTTTTTTTTATGGCTTTTCGAAACAGGGTTTCTCTGTGTAGCTTTGCACCTTTCCTGGAACTCGCTTTGTAGACCAGGCTGGCCTCGAACTCACAGAGATCCGCCTGGCTCTGCCTCCCGAGTGCTAATTTCTTAAGCTCTCAGAATCTTAGTTTCCCCACTTCAAAAGTGAAAGTGATACTGCCCATCACTCACCGTGGTTGCGAGTGTACCAAAGTATGAAATCATTCTATGGAGTTTACCTGTCTTTTTGTTAAGCAATTATGTCACATTGTGTGGAGCCAGGGAGCCATATGAAACCCGCTTGACCCTGCATAAGTCACATGACTTCCTTTCGCCTCATTTGTGCACTAAGAATTGTCTCACCCAACAGGCATGGCTGTTTTGAGGACTGAATGTTCCACATAAAATAGCTCCACAAGTGCCTGTATCCCACTCAAAACAAAATAATCTCCTTCAGAAAGAATGCTGTGACCAACCGTAGAACACCAATGAAGTTCATCTGTCATGAGTTAAAGTAACATCTCCCTCTCCTTGCCTTCTCTATTTCAACTTTCCTTCAGTCTCCTTGGGAGAATGTAGAATATTAAATGCAAACTCCTCTCCCCCACCTCGGACACACACACATACACACACACACACACACACACACACACACACACACACA